GCCGCCGCCGCAGCCGCCGCAGCGTCGGCCAGGGCGCCTTTGGTGCTCGCGCGGCGGGCCGCGGACGCTGACGCCGCTGGCGCCGCCGCCGCCGCCGCGCTCGCCTTGCGGTGGCCCCGGGCAGAATTAGGGGGGCTACTGGACGGCGGCGCCGCCGGCGCGCCCGCGGCAGCCGCTCCGGCGCCGGCGCCGTCCGCTGTCGAAGGGGCCGCCTCGGCGGCAGCCGCTGGCGGGACTGGCTGCTGGGAGGCTTGCCACAGTGACGCATCGACGCCTGGGGGAGGGGCGTGCGTCCCTTGATTCAAGTTTGATGTGACGGGATCAGGCATCGCGGCCGCCGGCTCATGTGCTGCTCACGGCTGGAGAGCTTGCGAAAGTTCACAGCACGCAACACCTCTGGCAACCCCGACCCCTGCGATTTGCCTTGCCGCAAGCCATGGGCGCGCCAGCCATTTATAGCACCCCGGCGTGCCCACAACTCCCACGCCCCCACCCACCGTCCCGAAGCCAGTCGCGCCCCGCCACCGTCGCCGGCACCCACACCGCCGCCCTGCACGCCCCGACCGGCGGCCGTGGCACGGCCGCCGCCGCCGCGGCCGCTTGCCAGTGGCCCTTCGCGCCGCCGCCACCGGCCGCCGCGGACAGCTGGGACCGCGCGGCGCCGCCGCCCCCGCCGCCGCCGCCCTGCTGCTGCTGCTTCGCGGCCGCCGCCGCGGCCGGCCCCTTCTGCCCCTTCTTACTATCCCCTGCGGAGGCCGCGGCGACGGCGGCGGCTGCGGCTGCAGCTGCGGCGGAAGCTTCTTCGGGCGGCAGGAAGATTAGGGGCAGGCTTGCCACCGCATCGCCTGCAGATGTTGCGTGTGTGTGACCATGTGTGCGTGATGGTGTGAGTGTGGGTGATCATGTGTATGAGGGATGATGTGAATGTGGGTGATTGTACGTGTGCGTGCCGCACGCGCGTCGTCTGCCGGGAACACGCCGCATCCAACGGGCGGGCGCGCGAGGGCGCGATGTGTGGGTGCGGTAGGGCAGCTTTGAGGTTGCGGGGCAAGCGGTCGAGCCTTGGTGCCCCTGCGGCACGGCGATGATGTGTGTTGCTTTCTGGGTGTTCGGCCACGCAATCTCGCTCGCAGTGACACTTGTGGAAGTGTTGAACCCAGCGCATGTGCGTGCGCGCGTGCGCACGCGGACAGACACACGCGCGCGGACGCACCGTCAACGGTTGAAAACTGCACATAGTATTGAAGCGCCTTCAGCGGC